TTGACAGCTCAGAGCCTGGAGCCTGCTTCAGATTCTGTGTCTCCCTCCTTCTCTGCCCCTCCCCTGCTCATGCTCTGTCTCTGTCTCTCAGCAATAAATAAATGTTAAGAAAAAAAATTTAGATACAAAGGTAGGAATTGTTAAAAAAAAAATTGCTTGAGGCAAGCAGAGAAACCTGAATATTTGCTGAGTATAAGGTGATACAAAGAGGTTGTTATATGAATTGGGTATGATAATGGCATTTTGGTTACTTTTAAAGCCCTTATCTGTGGTAAACTGAAATATTTACGGGGAAATAATGTGACCTAATGCAACTGGGATTTGCTTCAGAATGTTGGTTTTTTGCTTTTAATGTTTGTTTTTATTATTATTTTTGAGAGGCTGAGCAGGGGAGGGGCAGAGAGAGAGGAAGGCACAGAATCCCAGGCAGGCTCCAGGCTCTGAGCTGTCAGTGCAGAGCCCAACACGGGGCTCGAACTCACGGACCGCGAGATCATGACCTGAGCCGAAGTCGGACGCTTAACCAACTGAGCCACCCAGACACCCCTGCTTCAGAATGTTTGAGCAGAAAAAGAAAAGAAAGGAAAAAATTGAGTTGGGAGAATAGATAAAACAAGAATGGTAGAAAGTTGGTGTTCGAAACTTAATCAGTGCAGAGGGTTTCCTCAATACTGTTATATTTTTCTATATTGTTCTCTATACTGTTCTAAAATTTCCATATTAAAAGTTAGAAAAAATAAGTGGTGGTCGGTAAAGGCCTCGTTCAAGAGGTGACATGTAAGCAGACTAAGCTGACGAGGACGTGAGGGAGCCAGATGCACAGAAGGGTGTTGGGGAAGAGTATACCAAGCATAGAAACATTCAGCACAAAGCATGCTCCCAGAACCCTAGCCTCCTTGTTGTTCCTTGAATGGGGGGCCACGTAGGAAATGAGGGCTGGGAGATCTTGGGGGGCAGGATAGAGAACACAGAGCCTTTTAAGTCACTGTAAGGACTTCAAGTGCAGGTCAAACCCAAGAGCATTCAAGGGGCTGCTCCAGAGTCACGCTCAGATATATTTTCTTCGTCGAACCATTCAGGTGCCTTCAGGTCTTTGCTCAGATTGAGACTATACTGCATGATCAGTACCGTCCAGTAGAACCATCTGTGATGCTGGAAATGCTCTGTCTGTGCCAGCCAGTGTGGCATTCCCCCTGCCCACCTGGGGCCAGAGAGTACTTGAAATGTGCCTGGTGTGACCCAGCAGCTCAATTTCGGATTGAGTTTTATTTGGGTTCGTTGAAACTTGAATTTAGATGCCCACATGTGGCTGGTGGCCCCGCCTCGGACGGTGCAGTGTTAGGAGGTGGCTGGCTGCACACCAGCATTTCCCTCCACGCTGGTTTTTATTCGGTTCCAGCAGCCAGGCCGTTCTCACCTCAGGGCATTTGCTCCCCTGCCTGCACCTTTCCCTGGGTGCTTCCTGTGTGTCCTTCCCACCTGATCTTATACAACCCCTCCTAAAAGGCCTTCCAGTTTAGTAATCGGGTAGCTCGGCAGGATCCATAAGCTCCCACTGGCCAACGGAGATAACAGAGTTCATCTTAATACATAGTTAGGTTTGGGCCCTTTATAGTTTCTTCTTTTAACTTGCAAAATGAGAATAGTTTCAGTAAATAGTGCCTCACCTAGTCCCTAAGATCACTCCGTTGGTGGGAACAATTTTGTTTGCTGTTGAATGGATAACCTAATGCCAGATGTTACTCTAGAAAAATGATACCCCAGTAGTCTGTAATAATCACCCAACCATACTAACATTTCCCCTCATCCTGTCACACCAAAAGTAGCAACTAAATGATCTCTTTCAAAGTAGATAATTGCAGAACATAAAGTAGGCTTCTCTAAATTGGAAGAAATTCCAATCGTAGAATCGAAGACGTCGATTATAGTAAAACTCCCTCCTCTGTTGATTCATGAGTTGGTTAGCTTTGTCCAACTCTTATCTGCTCTTGTGAAGCAGCCAACAGTGAAGAGAGAGCAGAAACCTTGTAATCCCAATTGTTAGTAAATGTTTCATGACCATAAAGTTCCAGAAATCGTCACTGCCGCCCTACAAAGCCACCCTTCCACTCGCCCTGTTCCGGGGGATTTCTGCTCTGTGAGTATTAATGAAAGCAGAGTTAATTTACATTATAACTTCGCATGCCACCTGGGGACCTAAGGAGTTGAGTTAAATAAGAAAACACGTGTGTGTCATACATCCCGAACATCCTGCATTCAGATAACTGGTAAGATTGGAGGGGATTAACTCAGCATATTTTGCGATGTCCTATCCTGGTTTTCCATGATGTTGATTTTATCCCTCTTTGGACATTAGTTCTCTCCCTAGATCAAGTAGCCAAGTTCAGTTTCTGTAGCATTTATCTTTTCCTGTCTACTAGGTTTCGAGAGATTACTTTTTTTAATGTTTATGTTTGAGGGAGAGACAGAACACAAACGGAGGAGGAGCAGAGAGGAAGAGAAAGAGACAGAATCCGAAGCAGGCCCCAGGCTCTGAGCTGTCAGCGGAGAGCCCGATTCGGGGCTTGATCTCAGGAACCGTGAGATCGTGACCTGAGCTGAAGGTGGACGCTTAGCTGACTGAGCCACCCAGGCACCCCTTGAGAGATCTCTAATACGTAGGCCCGGTATTCTCTAGCTGTTCTTTGTGGTCATCTAGTCAAGAAATATGTTAAGTTATTCCGTGAAAAAAAATGGTGGTTAACTGAATTCAGAAGGTCCCTTTGGTATCATAAGATTGTTTGGCAAACTACCAAGGCAGAGGTCCTTGAACCAAAAGACGTTCTTCTCAGTTTGGTTGCCACAGCGGAGGTAGGGCTTTGGGTGTAAAGTTACCACCCCCTGAGAAGGATGCCTCAGCCCTGCACTTTGTTTTATCCCTTTCTCCCCTCCAGCTCCCTTCTCTGTGCCCCGGCCCGGCCCCCACTGGACACTGTGACCGAGTGCTTTCAAGCACAGTGATGGGAATAACGTAATGGTAACTGCTGTGTTTACACTTGCTCCGCCCGGTGTCACGCTGAATGCTTCCACCTCTGTGTTGACATATGTGTTGCTCTCACCTCCGCTTTACAGGGGAAGAAACAGACCTGGTGAGGATAAGTACCTTGCCCGGGGTCTCATGGCCAGAACCGGGTGGAGCTGAGATTCTAACCTGGCACGGGAAACTGCAGTGGAGCTCTGGAGTGTATGCCCCGGGGGCAGTTCCCACACAGGGCCAGCTCAGAAGCGACTCCCTCCCCCTCGGCGTCCGGCAGGCCACTGAGCCCGACTGCCGTGGTCCTGCACACATGAGCCTCCCTGCACACCCGGAGAGTCCTTCCTCGTCCTTGCCCCCACCTCTTTATCCCAAGGCTTCGATAGGGCTTTCAGGTCTGAGGCAGCTCAAAATGTGTGGCAGGGAGGGGCTGTGTGTGTGTCAGTGGACTTATGTCACCGAGCACCAGCCACTCATTACACACCCAGGCATAAAGGGTTCCCTGGAGCAGGATTCACCTCTGATTCTTCTGGAGTACTGTGCTGGTGTCTTGTAATCGATGCAGCCCACCTCGTCTCCTCCTGGGTTATTACGGAGGCCCCTTAACTGCACACTCCGTCTCCAGTCCTGCCTCTTCCCCGATGCGTCGTTTACCTAGAGTCTGATGTTTCTAAACCAAATTTAATTCCCACTCCCCTGTTTAAAAACCTTTGTGACTTCTCATTGCCCTTGGGGTCAAGAGTGAGCCTTTTACGTCCCTTCTGAAGCCCTGAGTGGTCTGGCCCCTACTCGCCTCTCCAAACTTATCTCTTACTGGGCCTCATGCCCCTCACGCTATCTGTCATCTTGCAGAACCTATTCATGTTTCTCCAGAAAGCATGGTTTTTATCTTGCCTCTGAGCCTTTGCACATGCTGTTCCAGCAGTGCCCCCCTTTGTGCCTGTACCACACGTCATAGCACTTGCTTGTCTACTCACTTTTATTCACCACTGTGACTTGCACAATTACAGTGCTAGGCACAGAGTCGCGGCTCAACAAACCTCTCTTGCATGAATGAATGAAAATCATTCCATTTTAGGTTTTTAAAGGGAGTCTGGATCTGGATACCCCCCCACCTCGTTCATGATCTGGGTTTGCCAGTATTGCTAACTCAAGTTCCTCTATCTTTTCAAATGTTTACTTCTTATTTTTTTCTGCTTGTAAGTTTCTCCTTTCCCATTCTTCAGGCCCTCCTGTTTAAGACACTTTGGAGTGCTTTTCCGTCTAGTCTTCTTGCCCGCCAGCACAGCGATCCTGGGTGGCTCCCGTCCACGTTCAGCAGGATTGTTGAAGACTCTGGGTGCAGCTCTTTCAGACCGCAGGGTCCTTCTGTAGCAGCCCCAGCCCTGTTTGAGCCCTGTTTGCCAGCAACACTGGGAAGGATGGAAAGAGTATTGTGTTTGTCACGCAATGTCTTAAAGGGATAGGATTTTTCTCTCAGTGATTTGTTGGTGTGAGCAGGGAGGAGCAAAGAGGAAGGCAGTCTGTGACTTGCATTGGCGGGGCGGGGAGGGAGGAAATCATGGAAAGTAACAAAGGATCTCTACCAAGAAAGTGTTCCCTGGTTACAAGGACTCATATTGTGGATGTCGATCTAGATTTTCCGAGTGCAGCCCACCTTCCACACTCCCCAGCGAGGGCAGGATCGTTGTCGAGGTGGCCCAGGTAAATAGCAGTTGTTCTTTGTTGCCTTTTCCTTATTCCAGAGGTTACACTGAAAGTCCACGTCAGTGATGCCAGCACCCACCAGCCCGTCCCAGATGCGCTTATCGAGATTTTCACCAACCAGGTCTCCATTGCCTCTGGCACCTCGGGCACGGATGGCGTCGCTTTCATCAAGTTCCAGTATAAGCTGGGCAGTCAGCTGATCGTCACCGCCACGAAGCATGCCTATGTGCCAAACTCTGCCCCGTGGAAGCCAATCCGATTACCTGGTAAGGTTGTCCCGGCCTTTCTGCGAAGCAGAACTTGTGGTCCGGGCTCATGCAGGAGTCAGGCACAAAAGCCATTTTGAAAATAGGGGTTGACGTCAGAGACTCTTAAATACAGAGGACAAACTGAGGGTTGATGGGGGAGTGGGGGAGAGGGGAAAATGGGTGATGGGCACTGAGGGGGCACTTGTTGGGATGAGCACTGGGTGTTGTACGTAAGCGATAAACCACGGGAATCTACCCCAAAAACCAAGAGCACACTTTACGCACTGTATATTAGCCAACTTGACAATAAATTATATTAGAAAGAAAGAAAGAAAGAAAGAAAGAAAGAAAGAAAGAAAGAAAAAGGAGGAAGGAAGGAGGGAAGGAAAGAAAGAAAAAGAAAGAAAGAAAGAAAGAAAGAAAAGAAAGAAAGAAAGAAAGAAAATGATTGCCCTCTACTGCCAAAAATAAAAAAAAGAAAGAAAGAAAATAGGGGTTTAGTCTCTGCTTTACTTTTTGGTCCTCTGATGGGAAGGAAAAGTAGGGTCCTGTATGAAGGAGGTGGGAGCTCTCACTCAATTTACACACACAATGGAATCGAAAACCGTAGAGTTTCTCCGCATTTCCCCAGCGTCCTGTTGTATACCTTGTTGATGATAACTGACAGGATGACATTGGGGCAGTGTTCTGGAAGGGAGCTTCAAGGGGCCCAAGAGCCACGCTGGCCAAAGAGGCAGGGGGTGATTGTTCTCTTTTCCTCCTTCTCACCTGCTAAGGGAAAACACACTCCTCTGTGTTTCCTCAATGCTCTCGCTCACGTCCAGCACTTCTGATCACCAGCTGTGTGGCGGATTTTCCATACATCAAGCAGTTCTCAGATTCTCAGATGCCCACTGGGCGTCCTACGGTTGAGCTCAGTTCTGACTCTGTCTACCTGGAGACAGCATCAGATCCCACAGGTGAAGGGCTCAGTCCCACGTGACTGTCCCACTTCAGATGCCAGTCATAAGTCCCAAGATGTCACCTGTGCTTCTGACCTGTAGCTCAGAGGTTCCCCAGCCCCTCCTCGGGTTTGACTGATTGGCTGGAGCGGCTCACAGAACTCAGGGAAAACAGTTGTTAAAAAACAGAAGTCAGCCAAGTAAACTTGAAGGTCTGTTTGGCTTTATTAAGTGATTCATCAGTCAGGCAGCATTCATCCAGCAAGTAGAGGGGAGCTTCAAGGAGTTGCACAAAACAGGGGGCACCTGTGTGGCTCAGTCAGCTGAGCGTCCAGCTTCGGCTCAGGTCATGATCTCACGGTTCATGAGTTCGAGCCCTGCTTCGGGCTCGCTGCTGCCATCGCGGATGCTTCAGATCCTCTGTCTCCCTCTCTCTCTGCCCCACCCCCACCGGCACTCTCTATCTCAAAAATAAACATTTTTTTAAAAAGCAGCTAACATATGTAAACTACCTTACAGTGCCTAAAACACAGTAGAGGCTCAATAAATAGCACAGTGACTGGCAAAATACCAATGTCAGTGCTCATCTCTGTGCCACCACACCACTGGACGCACACTCCATCAGGGTCCCCATTGCCTCTGGGGACACATCTCATACAGCCCTGGCATCTGCCCTCATACACAAAGTTCTCTGTAGTTGAGTTTACATTTATTAAGTACCTACTATGTGCCATGGAACTCCCCTGGCCACTGAGGATATAGATCTAAAGACACAGAACTTGCCCCTACGGAGTTTATGACTTAGTTTGAGAGTTATGTAGTCAGCCACAGAAGCCATTCCCATCTAAGGAGATGTTTGTGTGTATATGTGTGTAGGGCATCCTGGGGGAGGACTGGTCATCCTAGGTGAGGGAATGAAGACTTCCTGGAGGGGGCAGGAGGGAAGCTGAGTCCGGAGGGTGATATTAGTATCAGAAGGTGCTGTCAAAAACACACAGGTTCCAGGACTCACCCATTCAGTCTGGGGACATTGATCCAAAAGTCTGCATTTTAACAAGTAACTCCCCACCCCCAGATACTTAGAGATAAAAGCGTTCACTAAAGTCGGGGACCACTTCTTTGTGAGCTACGGAAAGCAGCTCACAGCTATTTGATATAGATACAACTGAGGAGATAGATCATTTGGAAAAATCTTAGAGAAAGGGGGATAAACCTTTAAAGAAATATTTAGCAGGCAAAATGCAGAAAGCCTCTGAGAACAGATGGGAGAGAGTTAAGGGAAAGGACAAAACAGAATTGTAAGTTGGATCTCGCGTTTCTAGCTGGTGACGGAACAGATAGAACAGATGGTCAATGGGGTTGAGAAACCCACCACTCTGTGCTTCCTTAAAGTTGACTCAATTGATGTAGTGACACTCCCCTGGCTTGGGGCTCAGGCAGAGGTAGGTGCAGGTGATGGTGGGGGAGGGGGAGATGGGAGGGAAGGAATGAATGTTGGGGTCATAGTTGATGAGTTCAGTGCAGGGGAGATTGGATTTGGGCTGCCTCTTGGACACAAGGGCATTCAGCCTTTAGTTTGAAATGATTTGAGGGCGCTCAAGGGGTTTGGAGGTAGAGGTGTGGTTTGGGGGTCACCAGCATCATGGAGGTCGGAACCGTGACCTCCCCGAAGTATGGGGAGCAGGCCTGGGACAGAACCCAGAGAAAGCCCCCAAAATAGGAAGATGGTCTTTACTGGATAATATATGAAGAAAGTGTTTGACCACCTCCATTTTTCACACTGAGAAATCACTGGAAACAAGGGAAGGTTAAATGGTATCCAGACACCACAGCTCAACCTTTGCTGGGAGAGGGGCTGCACAGAGTAACAGCAGTTTGTTCTGTAAAGTCACACGGGCACTGGGTTAGTCGATACTGAGCCATTGCCTCTAGGGAAAATTCAGGGTTAGGGTCCTGTGAGCCTCCTGTCATAACATTTTCATCAGCTGAGCAATATATCACCTTGGTTTATGTGCGTTCGGGGGTGTTTAAAGACACGTTATTTAATATGTACTGTTGGTTCATAAACATGGAACTCCTGGCCAACAGCTCCATAACTCATGCTTGAACAAAGCTTATCTAACATATATTTTTCCCATGAGCACCTCCCAGCCTTCCTACAGTCAGGAACACTAGACAGCACGTCAGCGCTGTGCCTGGGGGCCGTTTTAAACAGCAAAATCCTGAAAAGAAGCACAGGAATGTGAAAAACTTGGCACTAAATAGATCAGCAGAGGACGCTTACAGTATGAGAGCTGAAAGGAAAAAGCGGAGTGTTGCCTTGTCCGACCTCAGCTGAGAATGTGTGCATCCAAGACTCAAATTTTTGACCCCTCTGTACTTGCACGGAGAAAGCATCATGAGGGCGCCTGGGTGGCTCAGTCAGTTAAGCCTCCGACTTTGGCTCAGGTCGTGATCTCGTGGTTTGTGAGTTCGAGCCCCACGTCGGGCTGTCTGCTGTCAGCACAGAGCCCGCTTGGAATCCTCTGTCTCCCTCTCTCTCTGCCTCTCCCCTGCTCAAGTTCTCTCTCTTTCTCTCTCAAAAATA